CACGCAACCACAATTAGGAAAAGATCCAAAACAGCCACAAGCGATAATTAAAAGCAATTACTATCATGTTATAAGAGCGAATGGCACGTTAAAATCTAGTTAAGTATCGTGACGATAATGTCTTTCAATGTTGCGAATTTACTGCTTCATATTGGAAGGTAAAAGAGGAAGTTGTATCTAAAGTATACGTTAAAATATTAAATGGAATATTTAATTCTTTTGTGGAATTTCCATGTTTTGAATGTTTATAAACGGAGAAAAACATTCGTTTAATTTTACTTTGTTATATCTCTTGTTATTTATAAACAAAAGAACTTTGCCGAAGCGATAAAAGAACAAAATATAAATAAAAATATCCTGAACAGTTCAGTAGCTTGGTTCTAAAAGGGCCAAAGTCATAAAACGCTGTTTTTGGGAAACTGCTTTAGAAGATTCTTATACAAAATGATCTACAGTTATTGATAATATTATTTATATTGCAACACTGTTTTTTTGTCTTGTCATTCTTACATAGATTACGGAATGTTTGGCATCAGTAAAACTGACCCACATTTGTTTTTTTTTATTGGAAATATGACATTGGCCCTTTTAGAATAACAAAAAAATACTCCAAAATGTTACTTTGGCCCAATAAAGGAATAATAACATTGCAATAATTTGAAGAGATTAATGTTTATTTTATAAAAACATAGTCACAATCAGTAGGATTACAATGGTAATATTACATCTCATCATCTTGATCGTACTCCTCATCTGCAATAAAATTATCCGTTGCAGATGGTGATGTAGTCAAAGTATTGAGAAACTGAAGGTAATATGGACGACTACTCTCCTCAACGTAAGGTAACATGTCTTTCAGATGTTGTGTTTTATTCGCTGGTATGTCCAATGGTTTATCAGAGATTGGTAACAAACGAGTAGTTCCAGAATTTCTAGTTCTTGTTCTTAATAAGCTCAATGTTTTATAAGGCTCATCGTCGGTAAAGGAGTTTTTGTATTTCATCACGCCAAGATTTTCACTTGAATAGTAAATAAGTCTTATTTTAGACCACACCACTGGTTGTCCTTGAGTATTGGTTTTTGCATGCTGAAATTTGCCAGATAATAATGATTTAAAACAAAGAAATTCTTCTTGCTTCATTTCTTGAACAAAAATTGGTGGTTTTCTGGGTATTAGACGAATAAGGTTAGCCCAGTCTCTAGGAATATCTATCCTGGCAGAAGTAGAATTTTTAGTTTTTTCTATTGCAGCATGTATAGTGTCTGCTTCTATGTGAGTGTGTCCGGGTACTAGAAATTTGTGATAAATATCAATCTTCCTTCCTTGGTGTTTGGAATGTTCAATAACGGTAAGAAGCATAACTGATAGTAAAATATTTCGATTTTGCCCAGGGCCGCAGTCGCTATACATAATGATTTTATTTATATGAGAGGGAATACTATTTAGGTTAGTGTATAGACAGGAAGCAATTTCTTGTCCACCTCTTTGAGCTATATTTTCATTCCATAGGTAGCATTTAGCTGAGTTTGTAGTTCCTTGCGTCTCAAAAATGGTAAGGTTCAGAGTCCATAATTTTCTCTTATAGAATGAAATGCTGCTTTTTAAGTAGGGAGTGGGCAAACATTTTTGTAGGTCAAAACTGAATACCACCAAATTTGGATTAAGTTTGCAAGCCAGTCTATCTTTCTTTTTCTCTTCATAAGCAAACTCTGCTAAGTGTTGATGTTGTAGTTTTTCACTTTCAAGTTGGGCTCTTTCATTTTCATCTGTAACGGATTTAAGGAGTAAAGAAAACTTATCGCAAGTAGTACACGTATCATTATACGGTTTTTTAAAACACAAGTTAAATTCTTCCACGAAAATTTGTCTGTACAGTGATTCGTTTCTAGGTGTTATGTTGTTTTCTTGGCAATACTCACAATATAGCCTATGCATTTTTGAAATAGAAAGATCGGGAGGCAAATATTTCTTTGCAGTTTTCTCTCGAGCGTAGTGACTTTCAAATGAAGGAAACATCAAAATGTGTTGCCTTATTACATCTTTCTCCTCTTCCTTTATTTTTGGATGGTTCGTATGTTTTCCACGACCATCGCTTGAGCAAATATTTGATGTTGAGGAACGCTTTTTGTTCATTATTACCCGAACTTTTTTTAAGGTTACATCTAACGTTGATAAAAACATAACTTGGCAAACCTCAATTCTCTCTGAGTTACAATCTAAATAATATTGCCTGCTATACTTTCTTTTACTTGTTTCATTACGGCCTCTTATTCTTTGTACTGCCTTCTCTCTTTCTTGAATGTGACTGGCTATAAACTGATTTTGAACTTCCCAAGCAAGATTATAAAATTCACTAAAAATGGTCTGCCTTTCTTCATTTGATAATTTTTTAAAACATTTCTTTCGGCATTGACATGGATTTTTTAATGATTTCTCTGGAATCTTTTTACCTTGAATTGTAACATATTCTTTTCCAAGTGTTAGTTCTTTCTTTTATTCTTTTCCCAATTATTTGGATTACGCTTCCTTTTTCTAATTTGTTCTCCGTCCAGAACTTTTTTTCTTCCTCTTCTATAAGAAGTTTCATTCCAGACAGTCAGCGTATGTTCTGATTCTGCAGTAATATGATTGTCTTTTTGTATTTTAGTAGGTTCTGAGTTGTCTGAGTCAGAAGAGTCACTATCATAAGGTTCAAATTCATCACTTGAACTTCCATCAAAAGTCTTAAATCGTTCTGAGTTATCATCTTCTACTTTATATATCACAGAAGATTTCGACCTCAGTTTATTCTTTATTGTATTTTTCGATGATGATTGTTCAGTTGTTATATCTTGTAATTTATTGTCTGAAACAAAGAGAGCAAAAAATTAATTATCTGAAACAAAGAACTATTTACATTGATTTATCTACCTGGCGAAATGCTTAGTCCAGGATCATAGTTTTCTTGTAAAACAGTCGAATCATCCTGTTTTGGAGGCAGCGGCACATTATCTAAAATTTAAATAAAAATTGTTATTAAATTGCACTAAGTGATTTGAAAATAAGATTTATAGGACTGAAATGTCTTAGCATAAGTTACTAATATTCATACAGTCGGCCTAGTCACTAAATTTGTCCTACATGGTACATTTTTTGAGTATACAATTTTTTACTTAGTTATCATTTCGTCCTTACATTTAAATCTTGTAATATTATCAATTTTTAAAATAAAGTTAACCTATTTACTTACCGGCTTGTTTATTTGCTTCCATTTTGTCTAACTTACACAAGTTAACAAGTTTCTTTCCACGGTATAACTGCTCCATCACTTTTTGTATTTTAAAACACACACTCAGAGGCCTCAGAGCCACTGTCGATTTTTTAATACAAAGATTAGGTACTACTTTTGCACTCACGATAATGTGTATAGACAGAAACCTAACCTAGAAATAAGGGGCCAATGTCAAATCAAATCGAAGAAGGTTTTGTTAAAAAAGGGCCAATGTCAACATTGGCCTGTATAGAAATAAAATTTTTAGAAGCATTGAGGCTGAAGTCTACATTGGTCCTTTTTGCTTTAAAAATTAGTGTTGATTAGAGATTGACATTGGCCAAAAGTAATGCTGTAAGTCTGTTGTTACTCTATCTAGACGTTGGCCCTTTGTACACAGTGTTGTTTATTTGAAATCTAAGACAAAAATGCACTTATGCCCAAACAGTCTAAAATTGACATTGGCCCTTTTAGAACCAAGCTCCTGAGTTATTTATTCATCTTAATCCATCAGCAACTTTAGGGAATCAGGCATAGAAAGGGGTTGCTCCTATTTTTGTTATTAAAGCTGAATTTAAAATTAAATTATATGTATAATTCCAATTTATTGGGATAAAATCAGAAGAATTTAAAATTAGAATATTTGAAAATAAAATAATAGCTGATGCCAATGCTTGGGTAATACAATGCTTTAATGTAGCTTCAGCTGGAAAAATATTATTATGATTTTATTAAGGAACAAAGAATTTTAGAGAGAGATTTCAGAAATAGAAAAGTCACTGAACGAGATTCAGCTAATCAAGACAAATTATTTTATGTTAATTCAGTTAACAGCTGCAAAAATTAGTAAATATTTTCTCTGGAAGGCCACCAAATGGCGCAAAAGACCTATACTACATAACTCACCAATCAGAAACACTGATGGAAGTGATCAGAACACTTAGAAATTAAACCTACTAATACCAAAGAAGCTGAAGCTGTTTTTACTTGAAGATCCTTTTTGTGTGGGGGATATTCCCATTTCTATATTTCTAAATTTCATACTCCTTAAGTCTTCTTCTATTTGTTGTTTCCATCTCAGTTTAGATCTGCCTTTGAATCTTTAACCTGGTGGTATTCATTCCGTTATAACTCTTAACGAATTGCTCGTCTCATATCACATTATGTATCCATACCATATAATTCTTTGTGAATTTATTAATTTAACTTTGTTCGTTTGACCCATTTATTCTTGTATTTAATGATTTATTCATTATCTAGTATCCTTTTCGTTTTCTCTCTTTGGTCCCAGTATTTTTCTGATAATCTTGCTTTAAAAAACTTTCAATTGCTCTTCTTCTCTAGCTGTTAATGTTTCTGCCTCATATAATACTATTGGTCTTATGGTCGTATTAAATATTTCCAGTTTTGTGTTTCGGCTTATTTTCTTATCCCTAAACATTTTTTTATTTCTATAAAACGTTGTATTCCTCGCTTGAATTATTCTTTTCATATCTACACTTTCATTTCTTCTGTTGACTAGTACTTCCAAATATTTGAATGTTTTAACCTCTTCAAAACTGTGTCTGTCATTTGTGTCTTCTTTTTCTTGCTTACGTTCATGTATTTTGTATTATTTGTATTTATTTCTAGTCCTCTTAATTTGGCTTCGTTTGCTATTTCCAGAAAGGTTTTCTTTAATCCCCTTTGATCTGTTGCTACTATGGATATATCGTCCACTTATCCTATTATAACACCTAACTTACTTACCTTTCCCGATAAAAGTAGTCCTAATCTATCAGTTCTTGTCAGATTTTGCACAGCGTATGCCTCTCCAGCATGTAATGACATAATTTGTGCAAAATCGGCACCTACCATTCGTTTAAATTGTAAACGGTTTAGCTAAAACAAAACAGTACTATACATTTACAGATTTAACAAAAAGATAACAAGTTCTAATCAAACTTTAAATATTTCTTTGTCTATTTTTGTAAAAAAAATTACTGCGATACAATTAGAAAGATTATATTAGTCAATACCTTAAACGGCTCAAATAGTGTGTGGTAAACTTCTTCAAGCTCTGGATCAAATTTTACTGGTCTTAACTGGTACAAAATGTGAAAAACTTGCGCCATATTCATCAACATAAATGCAAAATTCCATGTGAAGACATCAGGGGCACATATTACGTTCCAAGCCCAAGTTGAAAAAAGTATTAGACCTGAAAAAACATTATAAAATGTTTTAAGACTCTACTTTCATAACTACTCTATGTATATTAATGTCTTTTCTTATTTATTCAAAAGAAAATTCTTCTTCTTCTTATTGCGCCCTCTCCTTTTGAAGATTGGCGATCCAAATAGCAATTGCAGCTTTGGAAACTGATACATGAAAGATTTAAGCGGAGAAGCAGCCAATCCATCTCCTCTGGTCTTTCAACCACGAGTACTGATCTTCTCCTACTGATCTTCCTACAGAAGAAAACACAGAACGCAATTTTATGAAACAAAAAAAGAAATAAAAAGTAGAGAAAAACAATTTTTGCACAAAAAAATAGATAGCTTACTGGAAAGCTCAATAACATGGAAGATATAGAAAATATTAAAGAACTTTAGATATAAAAGTGTAAAAATAGAACCAATAAAAATGCAGGAATGGGTGAAATATCACGTAGAGTTATTGTAGTAATAAACCATTGGAAAGAAAAAGAAGAAGCGTGACTTAGCACCAGGTTAGAAAAAAAGATGTAGATTTTAGTTTGTGTACATTTATTTAATATCATGTTTAATAATAACTAAGTCTTACTATATGGTGCAGTCAGTACAAGAGCTAAAAGAATAATTATCCAGAAGCGGACAGAGCAAAAATTGCTTGGTTTTTAAGTATGATTGGACCGAAAGGAGTTGAGTCCTCATTTCTCTCGATCGAATGGTAGTTGAGAGGTTTGTATAGATATCTAAACTATTATTAAAAAATCAGATGACATGTAAGTTGTTCTAATGAACTATCTTAATACACCTATAACTGGTCTCAAGAGGTCATCAGCTGAACTTTTATTTGGCAGCAAACTAAAACTAAATTACCATTTATTAAAAAGCAAATTGATAACATAAAAGAAGCTAGGTCAAAATTAGAAGAAATAAATAATACTTGTAAGGAATACTATGATGAGCAGACGATGAATAGGCCTGGCTATAAGAGGCTTCAATTTCTTAAATCAAAATTTTTGGATCCTTCTTGAAAATCGTTCACTTAGCGTCCGAACTAAAATATGGCTCCAATAGAACAGAACTTCTGCTTATTTTTCAGGTAATGTTAGGAACTTCCTGTAAATTTCAAAATAATTAAAAAAAAAATTTAGATTTCAGACGGAATACCTGCAGAACTGTTAAAACTAGTGGAAGACGATAAATTTGAAGATTTGTGTACGATACGGAAAGAAAGGCTGAAGTCAGCGTTTATAACCATCCCTTAAAACAAGCAGCAAAAGAGTGCTTTAGCTATTAAACACTGAACCTCATGAGTCCTACTGTTTAAAGTAATAGATAAAAGAATATAAGGAAATTTGGAGGAGCAAATTAGTAAGACGCAGTTCGGGTTCCAAAATGAAATGGGTATAGGGTCGAGAAGAACTATTTGCCATCAACATACTGATTTAGTGTAGAAGACAAATGGATGAGAAAATGGAGAGTCTGAAAGCGAGGAAAAATGTGGAGGAATTATGGACAAAATGTAGAAATAATACCTGAAAAGCTCGAAAGTTTTACAAAATGTATACAAAATGAGTAAAGAGTTCAAGCCAAGAATAATATTCACCCTCTGTGTATTCAAAGGCAGTAACCAATAGAGCCCGGTTGTTAGAGTTAATAACAATGAGTCTCCAAGGTTGTATTTGATTGATACTGGAAGTATCTAGGATAGAAATAGCTATCACTCGCGTAAATCAAAACTTGATCATGATCATGATATTAAACAAACCTGAATTCAAGTGACGACAATGATGGTACACCTAGTTGTAGTAAAGCTCAGAGTTCAGTGCAGGGTGTGATATTGCGTAAGTAAAGTTTACTGTTGCAGCATACTGCGAAAAAAATGGAGAGGAGAAGATATAATATTACGCCATTAGAAAGAAAAGAAGAAGCGTTACTTAGCACGAGGTTAGAACCAACAAAAGATGTAGATTTTACTATCTACTAAATTTTATATTCAATAATAAATGAGTATTATTGCAATTACTACAAGAAAAAAAGATATCTAGAACAGAAGCTGCAGATATATCTGGTGACGAAGATTAACGACACGAAATTTATGAGGTATAATTGATGAAATATGAAAGAAAGTAAAAATATTGAAAAATTAACTTTAATTGCAAGATACAAGTAAAAATCATTATACACAATAACAAAACGAAGAATATTGTACCGTTTTCTTTAGATTTCGACAAACAGTGATTTAAAAAAATTGTTGCTTACCTAAGATCAACCAAGAATGCATGAAGAGCACCCCCCTTTTCGAGCATGTTGAAGAATAGGCAAGCACAAAACAAAAATTGGCGAGTTGGTATAAAATATGCTGAGGGTCTTTCCAATAGTCACACCATGGCCACCAAGTTTCTGAAAAAAATTAAACATTTTGAATAAAATTGAATCTTGAATCAACAAATGAATAACTGAAGTTTTATTTACAGAATAGCATAATAATTTTATTTATGTTTATAAACTAAGAAGTGTGTAATAATGCATAAATGTCAAAACCTTTGCGATATTGAGCATATATTTCTAGTAAACCCATAAAAGCAACAGCAATTAAAAAAAATATTTTAGAATTTCTTAAAGTAAATTTTGACCACATAAACAAAAACATAATAAGCACTCACCTGATGGAATGTGGTATGAAATATTTCTTTCTCCAGCAGGCCATGATGAGTTTACTCCAGGACCAACAAATAAAGTATGTGAACGTTCTTCGTTGGGTTGAAGACCACTTTCAGCATTGGAAGGCATTTATTTGAATAAATATCTGGTAGTATAGTCCTATTATATCCCTATTTTCACAAGGCAGTCTGGGGGAAAGGAATCAATAAACTGCAGAGCTTTGGTTGAAGTTTGACAGTATAGATGGCGCGCCCAAAAGTTAAAAAAGTTATTATAGTATTTTCCCATATTATTTCAACATTTAAAACATATATTTATATTAACATAAATACTAAACTTTTATTATATCGTTGTTTAATATTTTAACTTAAATCTGAAGTGAATAAATCAATAAACTTTGGCTGTATAGATGGCGCAACTATATATTAAATAAAAAATTATTGTATTTAGTTATTTATTATTTCAGGTTTGTATAGCTATATGTTTTATATACTGCTATACGTATATTCTTTTAAATTCTCACACAAAATTTCAAGTAATAGAAAGGAATCAATAACCATAAGGTGGTAGTAAATATTTTCAGAACAATATTAAAAATCAAATTGGCACAAATGCTTCTACCGATAACTTCAATACTGATTATTTCGTTTACTGGTATATTTTCCCATAAATCTTCTAATTTATCGGAAAATTAATGTTATTTATCAACCCTTTTGCGGATAAAAACATCTGGCAATACTCTAAGATATATGTCGAACATTTTTTTCGAAACATTAAATTTTCTGTCGTGACGAATTTCTTTCAAATAGTTGTAGAAGAGTTAAAACCCTTTTCGATGTATGTCGAACGATATTTATGACTTATTTTACGGTTTTATCGACGCTTCGATGAAAAAATGGGGCGCCGATAATTCTTTTGTGTAGAATTCATGGGATGTTACATAGTGTTTGGTATGATGTATCGTTAAATTGAAGACTACACATACGGTGGAGTAGGTTTCTTAATCAACAAGAAGGGAAAATCTCAAATTCAAATAATTGACAGTATCTCAGACAGGGTTACATACATGGTCTTAAAACTATGCCCAAAAACTAAAATAAAGATCGTGCAAGTCTATGCTTCAACTGAAAAAGCAACCGATGAGGAAATAAATTCTTTTTACGAAGACCTTAAAAAAGCTATATACAACAACAAAGAATCGAAAATAATCATAATGGAAGACTTTAACGCCAAAATTGGAAGTAAGATTGAAGACTCTAAAAGCAAGATTGGAAATTTTGGATTCGGCATAAGAAACACAAGAGGAGAAAAACTCATGGAATTCTTGGAACAAGAAAACATGTATGTTATGAATACCTTCTACAAAAAGAAACCTAACAGAAAGTGGACATGGGTCGCACCTAACGGAACTAACAAAAATGAAATCGACTATTTTCTCTCAAACAACAAAGGAATATTTGAAGACGTCACAATAATAAACAATGTAACAACGGGTAATGACCATCGTATAGTTAGAGCAAAAATAAAGATTAACATGAAAGAAGAGAGAAAAAGAATTTAAAAAAAACAACGAGGATAGATGCCTTTAAACTCAGAACAAATGAAGAGCAATTCCGAGAGGTCTTAACAAGGACCAAAGAAGACAAAATAAGCAATGAAACTAAATAACTAATAACGGAAAGACGACAACTACTAGCGCAAAACAAACGCTATTTCCAAGAATACAGAGAACTTAATAAAACGATTAAAAAAGAACTAAAACGCGACATTCAAAAATGGAACGAGAACTTAATAGAGCGAGTCATTGAAAACAACAGAGGCTTAAAATGTTTAAGAACCGCACTGGGAGTTCAAAAAATCATCAAAATTAAAGACGCCAACAATAAGGAAGAGAAGAACAAATATAAAATAACAAATATTGTCGAAGACTTCTATATATCATTGTACTGCTCGCAAAGCCAGCCTTATGAAACAACAAAGGAGAACGTCAAAATAAAAATAAAAAACATGGGACCAGAAGTACTACCAAATATAAAGGGATTCGAAATAGAAAAAGCTTTAAAAGAGCTAAAAAATAATAAAGCTCCAGGACGCGACGGTATAATTGTCGAGCTCTTGAAAACAAGCAAGACATTAACAATCCCTGTACGAACAGAGCTATTTAATAGATGTCTCCATAATAGCCAGATCCCTAAAGACTGGAACGAGTGTCTAGTAATACTCTTACACAAAAAAGCGAACAAATGTGATCTACAGAATTATAGACCTATATCGTTGCTCAGTAAAGTATACAAACTATTTATGAGAATTATTAACAACCGGTTCACCTAAAAAATGGACAATTACCAA